AAGTACTCTCTCAGTTTCATGTGGGTTTCACCAAATAATTTAAGGTTATAACTAGGACAAATTAGGGACGATCTGCTTGCTAAAATTATGGGTAAAAATAGACATCATAACTAGATTTCTTAGACATTACATACTTTCTTATATATTAGTCGTAAGAATTTGGAATATAGAATCTGTTTCATAGGCTCTTGTGTAGAAAATGAATTAGGCATGACATATAGGATCTTGTAAGTATGACATCTAAAGTTTGCTTGCATCACACAATTTTCATTCAAAAAAAGTTATTAGCAAAATGTGCAAAAAAAGTTTGCCAAGAGAATCCTCTCAGTATAGCTTTATTAATTGTGAAAGAAATTATGAAGTGTTTATGAACTGCTGTAACTCAAATCCATAGGGCTTGAAGCCTAAATAGAGTTCTTAAATACTATACTAAATACTATTACTGTTATTATATTAGACTCTTTATAATACTTTTACAACAAATCACAAGGAAATTGCTAGAAATAATAAACTTAAAAATTGCATCTCTTTCTTAGAAAAAAAAAAGATCAGGTGGATTTTTTCTCCAAAGAGATACAGTGGAATTTTTTTGAAAAGGAAATACAGTAGAAAATAGAAAGTGAGAAAGGAAGTTTAGAGATAGCAGCTACAGTGAATAATGGTGGGTGCAAAGGAAAGAGAGGGAAATAGTAGTTCTTTGTCCTCATGCAATTTTTCAGAAGGTTTATATCTAGGAGCTTCCAGGTCGATCTATTGCATTATTTACAGAAAATGAGTCTCTGTTATTTTTGCTTGATATGGTGGTTGTAGGGAGTTTTGCTTGATAGAGATGCAGCTGCTTGTTTTACATTTTTGTTTTGGTCTAGGACTTAAATGCCTTTGTTTTCTTGTTTGTGCATGTTTTTTTATTCATGGGGATATCTTGCCTTCCTTTTTATTCTTTCCTTCCTCCCATTCATATTTCTTTTTCAATAAAAATGGTATATCTAAAAGATAAAGATTTTTTGTTTTGTGAATTTGATACTTACATTAACACCAAACCAAGGGGTGCAATTCAATTACAATAAACTTTCCTTGTCAATCAAAATGTTAATAAGATCCTCTAAATCCTTAGCAAAATTTAGGCAATTTAGTTACAATAAGTTGTACATATCAGTCAAATGTTAATAAGATCCTGTAAATCCGTTAGCAAAATTAAGAGGATGGCTCTTAATTAAGAAAACATATTATATTGAAAGAAATGTAATTCTTATATAAAAATCTAACTAAATAAACCTCATTTGCACCATTTTCTCATGGTTAGGGTAAAACTTGATATGGAGTCTCAAGTGCTGAAGGATAAAAGAAAACAATCTAAACATCAGAAGGAAAAAATTGGAAACTTTGTGATTCATCATCTTCCTTGAAAGGGGAAATAAAAGTAGAAAGTTCTATTATACCCCATAGATGAGATGAAATCAACAGATTTACAAGTGTGTGCTTCATTTCATCCTTAAAATTGAATATTTATAGATCCTTCTTTATGCGAAAGATCTTGAACAATCTCAAAATATTTAATTTCAGAAACTTCTTGTATTTATTCTTTCGCTTGTTCCTCAGAATCTAGAGTCTCTACCTTCATGATAAGATCCCTCCATTATGAGGAGGTTCAAGGACAGTGACATATTCAAATAGATTATGTCGGATAACATTGTAAGCATGCTTAGAATCTTTAGAGAATATACCCTTCCTTTATTATGAATATTTTGTGACAAAAATGAATTTTGTAAAAGGCACCAAAAGGTATTGCCAATGAGAAAAAATATTCCCAGATGATCAATAAAAAGGTCAACGAGGTTTCTCATATCTACACCATCAAGGGTGTGGCATCCTGTGAACAAAACAGTTCATTGTGGCACACTAAAGTCACTTTGACATGCCATATGGCACATTAACAACATGTCTAGTTCATTATATGAGGCAGAATATGCTAAAGTATAATAATTACATGATAGGGACGTATTATACCGTTTTGTTGGCTAATTGAGATTATTTTGCAATTATGATTACTGGAGAAGTTATATCCTAATTCATGGCTGGAGGAGTCATGAATTAGGCCATGAATTAGGATTACAGCCTTAGTGGTTTTAAAATTTAACTACATTTGAAAATTTATAGTTACAATGTGGTCTAATATAGAGAATGCACAATTGAAAACAAGGAAGTACACCAGTTGTGGATTCAGCTTGTGACAGGAGGGAAGAAGAAGAATGTGGCACATAACATTTAAAGATATGGTTTGATATTTAGAAAATTTGTAATTAGTTAAAGACTTATTAAGTTTTTTAAAATTGAGTATAAAGAAAAAGAGTATAAAATAGTTTAATGATTAAGAGGGTGTTCGAGAATCTAAGGTTACTTATTTCGTACTTATATGCAATTTTAAACACTTTGTTTCTATCTTTGTGGCCGGTAACATAAAAATTAGGATGATTGTCAGGTTTTCAAGGTTAACTACATCGAAAGTTAAGGTTTCATTTTCTTAAAAGTTAACATTTCATTTTCTTATTCTAAGTGGTTTTTGAAGGTCCTTGCTCCCTCAAAAGTCAAGGTTTTTGTTTGGCTACATTTTTGAATCTACCTAATACTGATAATTTGCTCCAAGCTCACAGGTAGTTTGTGCTCTCTTCTGACGGGTTTGTCTGATGTGCTCCGAAGCTGCTAAATTTCAGTCTCCTGTTTTTCCAGTGTGATTTGTCATAGAGACTCTGAACTTAGTTATTTGTTACTTTCAGTCTTGCTTGGGTTTCTCCTCCATATCTTGAGGGTATATATATTCTACCAAGTATGGTCTTGGTAGAAGGAAAATGGTGAAGGCTTTG